GTTTTATAAATTGTGTAGGGAATATTAAAATATATAAGCTTAAAATAACAAGCAGAATAATTAATTTAAAAAAAATTTAATGATGTTTTTAAGGAATTTTAATAAGAATTGTTCCTATTTTTAGGGAAAGAAATCAGAATAATTATTCAATTTCTTTTAAGTGAAACAAGAGAAGTAATTCATCTGTGATGAATTAGAATTTAGTAAAATAACTTTCGGCAATTTTATAAATCCGGAGTTTTATATATGAATATAAATTTTTATAGCTGAAAATGATCTATATATATTATTTTTAGGCGTTAAAAATCAACAACTGTAAATTTTTAACTTTCTTTAAAATGTCTGCTTTGCACATTTAATGCTGTTGATACCTCTCCATATCGCAATTTCACGCTCTGTTGAAAATGTTCTGCGAAATTTCCAACTTTAGCTTTTCTATTGATACAGAAAGAATTTTTAACGCGTTCGAATAAGAAAGGAAATTTTTACTGCAGTCTAAATGAGGAATATTTTGTAAAAATACAGAAGAAAGAATTTTTTTTTTTTTTTAAAGAAAGGCTAATATAAATTTTAACATAAATTTGGATACAATTGCTAAAGTTTTACAGTTGAGTCTTTAAGTCGTATACCATTTTTTATGTGTTACGACAGCATTGGATACTGTATAAATTCTTAGCTGTTTAAACGAAACCGTTTCTGTAAAAATGAGATAACAGTCTGCACACTAAGGTAGAACAAATAAAGTTTTTTCAATAATAGTTTTCAAGATTTTTTTTTTTTACTTTCTTAAAAAACTTTCCAAACCGATCAAATTCGAGACTGTTGAAGATATCAATCAAACCAATAAAGCTAATGGTTTTTCCTTTCCTATATTTACTTCTCAATATGCAAAAAATTTTTTATCCTGTTTTTTTTTTTTCGTCATGAAAATTTATGAAAGCGAGCGAAACTGTTATGATATTTCATAAATGTTACTAGTGTAGCTAAGGTTTAAGTAGTTTTAATATTATAAATTATTCAGTGAGACTAACTCGAAAAGCTATCTTTGTATCCTTATCAATGCATGCAGTAATAATAAATTGTTTAAAGCTGTGTTCGTTTCCATGTAAGATAATTATTATTATTCATTGATGTGTTTTGAAATTCTATAATTAAAACGATCGAATTTGAATTATCAAACCGTTGCTATGAATATTTATTAAGTAATAAATTTGCACTAAGTTTACAAAAATATGATACGGAAGATGATAAAAATCTGTACGTATATTGTATATTTTTTTATTAAATTAAACAAAATATATTTATTACAAAATTATTATCCTCTTAAATATTTAAAATCTAACCTCATGCATGCACTAAATTTAAATAATATCAAATTAAATAAGTTAAACTAATCGAAAATATAGAGTTGTGATATGAATTCAAATTGTAAATTTCATTACTTTGATTGGTTAATTTAAAATAATCTATTAGCCAATCACGTTAATTAAAATCACAAATGAATACGACGTTGTATCTTAGTTTATATACAGTTAGTCGAACTACCTATGTTAATAAGATCATTTTAATTTGTTTCATTTATACTTTCCTAACTTATTATAATTTTAACAGTTTATCGGATCGATTCTTACGTTAGAAAGGTGAAACGTATAATTATTCTGCAATTTCTTTACTACTAATGATAAATATTAAATTAACGGATAACTCAATTTGAAACTTATATTTGAAAAGTATTTGTGAGTCTATAGAATTATCAAGTATAAGATATTGATTGTCCTGAGGCTACAATTCCTCGACTTAAACGAATGAGTGTATTTATCTCAGATTAAATCTACACCTTCTCATATCTAGAAACATCATCTCATCTATTGTCAACTTGACGTAGATTATATCATCCGATAACTTTATTAAGCGAAGGCGACAATTATTTAATTTACTAATAAAATTTCACTTCATATTAATGGAATTTTTCTTCCTTTCCAATAACTTTATACTTGGCAGGTCATACTTCAAGCTATGAATTATTTAAGATTTTTGTATTTATTAAATATCGCGCAGATTTTTAAAAAATTTTTACCGAAGCGTAAACTTAGCAGAATAATTAAAGCAGAGATTTAAATTATGAATATTTATATTTAAGTAAACAATATGTTGCTTTAAATTCAGTTGGATTAAGAAACTTGATTACGCTTCCAGAATTTCGCTTGATATTATGCATTTTTCTCATCTTCTTTTCTACTTTTTATAACATAATGGAAGATACGTGAGATGCGAGAGAGTAAAAGGAAATCACTATTTTCCTTTCGATAAAATTCTGAGACACATTGCATCTCTACTTGTCAGAGACATGTGTGATAGCTTTTAACTTATATCCAGGATGACGTCAAAATGTTACATTCAAGGCTAACGATTAGTGAAAGGCTCTTAGTCGAGCAAAAAGTTCAACACATTCGAGTGAGGAATGAACCCCAAGTGAAACATTTAAACAATAAAAAAAGATTAATGGAAATGGATGCAACAAAGGATATAAAATAAGCTATCAATAAACTAGGTAAGTATCTATATTATACGTTTATATTTTATGTTTTAACACTCTTAAGAATTTTTTTCTTTTTACCTTTTTCTTCCACTTTTTTTGTCTGTAGCCATTTTTTGTAAGATTGATAAAATACGCACGCTATACTCGCTGAAGTAACCATAGAGAAGCCATATAGAGATGGAAATACAACGATTTCTACTTGTTGCTAATAAATAAAGAGGAAAAATAAATTTCGTACAAGTTAATTTAGCTCTTAACATGTTTTAACTTTTAAAATAATTTGTTTATTTTTAAATTACTTTTCTAAAGTCACTAAACTTATTATATATTATAATTTAATATTTTAATTAATAAATTTAATATTTAAGTTAATCAATAAATTAATAAAATTATAATTTATTGATTTATTAGAACGAGTAAGGATAATACACAAAGAATTAAATTTTCATGAAGTATCAAGATATTTATTTTACTTGTTCAAGAAGACAAGTTAACCACCTACAGATCCCTTCATATGTTTTCATTGTCTCGGCCGGTTGTGTCTAGTGCAATAAACAAGAGCAGGAAACATATTGCAACCATGAATCATGTCTTCGTGTCTAGAATTATCTGCGGTACTAGTCCGAAAGAATTGTTTCTCGATTCGATAAGTTACAACAGTATTAAGATATCAGTAATGCGAAAGAGGTATCGTCGACTTTATTAAATTATAAATTTAATTAATTGAGTCATTATAGGAAAAATTTAATTTTGATTTGACAAGTCAGCATCTTTGCTTGACCAATCGTACTATTTCCCTCTACCGGACGTCCAACGAACTATGGAAAGTGCTGAATTGATCGACTGCGAGAAATCGGAAGGGACATTCAATTTCCGGAATTGCTAATGCGGCAGATCGAATACATTCAAGATGAAACATTCTACTGAATGCCTTTAGGCCTGGAAATAAACTGCTGAATTTGTCAAGTCATGTATCGTCGTTGACGCCACACTAATAAAAAAAAAGAAAGAAAGAGCAGACTTATACACTAGAACGGAAATCTTACGCGAATTTTACACTCTTGTTTATCTACTTAGATGCTTATATATATATATATTTCGAGGAATGATAAAAGATCTAAAAAAATAAAGTCTTGGTATCAATGTTTTCCTGCTAACTCCCATAAGTACAATCACCAAGGGAGTCATTCAGAATTCTTTCTCTGCTTATTTTTATATTCTAACTTTAACACGATAATTTTTAGTTACTTAGTTTAATAAAATTTACGAAAGAATATTCTATTATAATTTTATTAATTAATTAATATTTAAACTTACGTGATGCGTGAAAGATAAGGAAATCATGTTAAGTGCCAAAGGAACATTCTGTAATCCACATTCATAGGCTATAGTCTTTCTTGCTGGAAGAGATTGACGAAACATTGCAGCCAAACCGTAACCGATACTTAGTCCCAATGTTGGCAGTAATACAACAGCAAGATATAATTTCCAAGGAACTAAATCGAACATGGATGGGAACATGACGATTTGTAAAATAATGCAGAAAAAAACTAAACCTACACCACTATAACTTCCGAACTAAAAGAGGAAAAAAAATCGAATAATCAAATGTATTATTTTGAAAATTAATTAAATTTATTAAATAAATTAACTTATTTTATTCCTCCCTTTTAGTTTGTAGAATAATTAAAATCTTTTAGTTATTTAATTCGGAGGAGTGTATTAACCGCAAATAATATTGTTGATTGATCAAACAACGACTCGGTACGTGACATTGAATAGTTTCCTTTGTCATATTATAACGGTTGCTAAATCAAAGAAAGATTCGATTTGGAGAACTCTTCAGTCAAGATGATGGTCCCTCAGGATAAAATTGAAGGATTATTGATAGAAGGAAAACGTGTGTGATCATGCAATGATTCTTATACATATGAATGAGATTTTGATTGAAACGTGTTGGAATATTCCTTCAATTATTTTAAAAACTCAACCAGTAAACTTATTACTAAAAATATAACATATTTATTTATGCCGAAGAAAAAAATCATTCAAATTTTAAATAAATTTGAAAATTATTTTATTAATTAATAATAAATAAAATCTTGTTAATTTATGCTTTATAATTCATAAATTTATGTGTATTTTTAGCTTGTTTTTTTTTGTATATTATTTGTTTGGAACGTTATATAGGTGGTTCCTAATTGTAAATTAAATATATAATTTCAAATTTTAGTTAAATTGACTTAATTTATTCATGGAAACAAATCAAATTAATCTTTTTTTACTTCTACATAAAATATTTAAACAATTATTAAAATTGATAATTAAGTAAATATAAATAAAATGTGTTATACTATTCATTTATGAATATAATAATTAATTACTGAGGAATAATGATTTATTAACAATAAATCTTAATAATAATCAATTAGTTATAACTGTTTCGTGGCGCCATCTCTTGCAACTAGTAACAATTAATCGATTGTAAATTTTAATCAATTGGGCTAATTTATTAACCATATTAATCTTTTAATGGATCATTTATTACCTTTGTGACGTAATAAGCGATTCTTCGGACTTTCCAACGTAACAGCATTCCAACCAATACCGGGGATGCAATGTAAACCAGAGACAGTGCAATTTTATCGTAGGGAATGATTAAATTATCCGTTTCTAAATTTTGGCCATAAATCCACATATTGAATGGTAGAAAACCTAAAGCTAATAATGTACTCGCTGTCGTCATCGTAACGCTGTAGAAAATAGAATTTTCAGAAATATAAAAGTATTTTTTTGCATCACAACTAATGAAAATATCCACATGCAAAAGTTTAAAAAAATTATTATTATTATTATTTTTTTTTAATAGAAAACTTTCGAAAATACTACTTCAAACATATTCTTCTAAGATTTAAAAAGTTTTAAAATTTTTTAAATAAATATTTTTGTTAAATTAAAATAAATTTGAAAGAATTAGACTTACTTAAATCAGCTTAACTTTATTGATTAAAAAAAAGAGGAGGATTCGTTAAGGAAGATGCAAATTTAAAATATTAATTTTATTTGCTTCACAGAGTTAATATTCTATATAGAATTTTATAGGAGATTAAATTACAGTCGAACTTTCAATAACTTCCATCTCCCAACCTGTAAACAACGGCCATTTTTACGAGAATGTTTTTGTTTTCTCAACAAAAATGCATACAAAAATAACCTCTATACAACGGAAACCTCCCGTTAAACCTTAAATAGCAACCATTTTGTTAAAAATAAAAAAAAATAAAATAACAAAAATAACCTCCTTATAAAGGGTATTTCCGAACAAACGCCATTTTTATGTTTCCATTAGTGGCCGTTGTTCAGAGGTTTAATTGTATATATTTCTTTACGATATTATATGTTTAATACTCTAACTATATTCAATGTAAATGCTAAATTATTTTAGTAAATTGCAACTGTCATCAGCAAACAGTAAACTGAAATGTAAATGAAATTATGAGAAAGTGATTGACATATAAACTTCCAAATTGAAAATTATCACTGTCAAAAACTCATCGTTTAATTGAAACTATTTAAATCTAATTAATATATAAAATATGCTAATATATATATATATATATATAATTTCCTTATTAGTTTAGTTTATATTTTGGCTAATGTACTTAAGTATAGTATAGTTTATATACGTATATTTTATAATTTATTGTAGTTGAAAAGTTTCCATTTTCATGAAGTTTGAATAAAGTTTGTATAAATTCAAATTTAATAGCTAATGGGAAATCCATAACTTGAAATCTGATATTCAATTCTCGGCATATTAATTAATTACTGCCATAACATTTGGTGTTTTAATTGGCAATTTACTAATCCGAAATAAATCTGCAAGTGTTGGTGTAATCGCTAAGAGAATTAAGTGTAACCGTTAATAAACTGTTAAATGTTATACTTGAGTGTACTTTGATCAATAACTGTTACTGATCGTGATAGTGGACATATCGGAATTAAATCCAAAATTAATTTGACAGTCGATATGTATTTAGCAGATGTAATATGATTAAGGAAGCTCTAGTTATTCAAAATTTATAGAATATTGGAATAAATCATTCACAAAATTGAATGTATTTGCATAAAGAATCGTATATTATGTTGATCCGTAATATGCTTTTAGTCAATTTAATTGAATTCGAGTGAAGAAGTGATTAAGATAATTGGTGGAATGACGTTTTAATGTTTAATTTATGTATTATTAACATAAATATGTTACGAGAAGCAATTAAATAATATCAAAATTTACTTTTCCTCTTTCTATATTTTCATTAATATTCGTAAAAATTTTAATTATTATTCATGAAACTTATTAACTACGTGTTTAATTTTTATAAATTATAAATTAAATTATTTAACATTTATTAAATTTTTATAATTCTTAATTAGATTAATATTAGTTTAAATTTTAACAATCGAAATAATTAAATCAGTTCGAAGTTTTTTTTTTATAATGAAGAGGGTGTCCCAAAAGTAAGTTAACCACTTTAAAGACTAAATTTCTGTTTTTTTTAATTTATTCAAATATTTAAGTACTTAATTATATTATTTGTCACGTTTCCACCAAAAAATACATTTTTCTAAACTTTGTTCACGATCCATATTCACAAGTGTGTACTCGGAAGCAGGAGGGATTTATACGTAAGCTAAACAAACCGTCTCACGCTACCAAAATACGTTTAGGGCCTCACATTTTTATTATTTAGTAGATGAAAAGGGCCTCTTACATTTTATAATTTAAATTCACGGAGAGTCTAAATACAGCTTTGCCAAGAACATACAAAAGAAAACACGGTTAACTGACTTTTAGGCCACCCTGCATAAATATTTTAATAATATAATTATATAAAGAAATATATTATCATTTATTTTTTTTCTGTCGAAATTATAGCCCATATATTAAGCAAATTTTCAAAGTTTTATATATAAATTATAATAATTCAGTTTAAACTGTGAATAAGGAATAACTAAATCATCTTAATACAAAAATAAATTATCGGCATTTAAAGTATAAATTTGGTAACGTATAATTCTAGTTTATTTTTATTTTTTTACTTTTTCTAAAATTGTCTTACGGAAATAAAGATTACTTTATCTATCATTAATCTTTATTACGGAGCTAAATAAATACCTAAGTGCCAAATCTCCATCACAAAAATAAGTAAAGGTATTAGATAGTACACCTCCCGGGCAGCAGGAAATAACTAATACTCCTGTAGCATAACTAGCTTTTAGTTTGAAGGCTTGACTGAATCCAAATCCAGATAATGGCATTAAAACAAATTGGCTGATCATACCACAACTCACACCTATAGGTTTTTTTATGTGAAGTAATACCTATAAAATTATAAAATAATTTTTTTTACATAAAAATTTCAATTAAATTTCAATAAATTCATGTTATTTCAGTAAAATTGATTAAATACTTATTTCATTACATTTATTAAACTCGTTAAACATACATTTCAGTGAAATTAATGTAAAAATAAAATGCCGATTTCAGTGAATTTAGTGTAAAAAAAATGCAGATTTCAGTGAATTTAGTGTAAAAAAAATGCAGATTTCAGTGAATTTAGTGTAAAAAAATGCAGATTTCAGTGAATTTAATGTAAAAAATGCCATTTCAATAAAACATTTTAATAAAATGATTAGAATATATAATAATTCTTGGAAGTATTTTATGGTTGAGTATCTTTTTTGAATTTTTTAAAATTAGTTAATTATTAAGAATAAAATTACTGAAATATATTAAAATAAACACTTTAACTCATTTAGTTTTTTTTTAATTATTTTAGAATAAATAACATACTCAACCATGTAAATATATTTAATTGGATTAAAGTTACTACTTACGCATTCTTTACAGCAGTTGATTTTGAAAGCTTAACATATAATTTTTCTATTGATTCTTTTTTTCCTGACTTATTTAAAAGAGAATTGAACGGAAATTTTATACTATAAAAAAGGAAGAAAACAAGAATAAAAAAAGGTCAAACTGATAGAAACATTACACGAAACCGTCAAAGTTGTGTAATTAGTGTAAATCAATGAATACAACAGGGAAAATGCTACAACTAGAAGAAAGGGGAGAGAAAAAAAATAAAAAAAGAGGAAAATAATACATAACCGCAGCGATAAAACTATTTATTGCTCGAAAGAACACACTCTTTACACATTGATTTATGTAAAAAGAATTATCGAATAAAATATTGCTATATTTATTTGATTTGTATTTGAAATTATATTATTCAGTTAGAAAAATTAAACTTTAATGAAATTCTCAAAATAAAATTTTCGCGAATTTATCTTGTCAATTCTGTAACTAGACAGTTTATACAGAAATCAATAAATACAATAGAACAATATAGAAAAAAAAGGGGGAAACTGTTTATGTTGGAATTGACCGATGAAAATATTATTTTATCAGGACGATATTTATAAATCGTAGAAGTGAATATTTTTAAATAAGATTTTAGACTTTTAGATAAGATAATACATTTAAAATTTTGATTCGATAAATATTTAAAATGTCTTTTCCTTCCTTTCTTTTTTCTTTATGTTACATTGAAAATGATATAATTTTCATATATTAATAACTTAGATAATAACGAGTTTATGATTTATTTATGTCTGAAGAGAGTGAGAGAGTGGCAAAATTAATTATTTTTCAATTCCCTTTTGAAGGACCTATTCAGATAATATATCGAACGTCGACTGACAAAGAAACGAACTGTGACTGACATTGATATATTTCATCCAATCAGTAGTGAGAATCTCGAAAATCATTTATTATTTCATTGTAAAATTAATATTGATCTAATAGAAAACAATACTTGTCTTTACAATCGTAACAAATCTTTCTAATAGTTTTATCGTCTTCAAATTTGATTGCTTATTATAATATTAAAAAAGTATATAGGCCTATTTTATATTTTATGCTGTTTTACTTAGTTATAGTTACATTGACAGTATTATTGTTAGGGTATTGAAGTACGGAATGAGTCAAAAGCTGCATAACACCCTTGTAAAATCGAACTGAGTTGAACAGGGAAAAACGTTGGTATAGTAACTTGTTAATGGACTTTTTGGCATGGAAACATATTATTGGGCATTTTGACGTAGTAACATCTTATACCACTAGACATAACATGTTTTTATCATGCCAGAATTTCCCCTTGCCCATTTATAACTGTGTTAAGCAATTTTGGCCTCGCCCTGTATTACACTTATGTTTGTTTATAATATTGAATTAATAGAATTTTTTATAAGGTTACTGATGGATAACATGGCTAAATTTATATAACTATAATACTTGTACTTCTTTATTAACTGTTAAGATATTAAAAGTATTATTTAAATGTAATTCTTTTAATTAATATAATTTATAATACAAATAAGCGAATTTAAATTATATTTTACTTATTAATTATGTAACGAAGTTGTAACTCTAACAGTATCCTCGTTAGAATGTTGGGCATAAATAGTTATTTACATGTATTTATTTTATATAAAATCTCACTTAAAACTCTTATAAACGATACAGAGAAACTATTCAAAATCGTTACATAACTTCTATTATTTTAGTATACAGCAGCAATAAAATTTATTTCAGCTCTTTTCAACTGATTTAAAATTTTAATATTGTTGAGAAGTGAAAACTATTTGAATATCGTGATAATCTGTATTTCCAATTATTATGTAAGTAAACAAAAATTCCACTTATTATTATTATTATTATACAGAATGATTTTATATAGTTGATATTTTATCTTATAAAAAAAAAAGATTCAAAAATAAAAACACAAAAATACTTTTTCCTTAGTTTTAAGTCACTTCCAATAGGAAATTTTTCTATTGTAAAAAGCTCTTACTAAATATGGTATGTGATTTTACATATAGAAATGGGTAAAGTCTGAAGGCAATTTTATCAAAAATGCCTTCGGATATAAAAACACGTCTAAAGGCAACTTCTAAAAAGTCAAATTGAATGAAAAAAAAAATAAAAACATGTGTGGAAAGCCGTGTTAAGAATGGTGGAAACTACAAAGATGCAAACATACAAATGGAATACTGAAAAATTCGAAGAATAGACGCATAAAAATGACAGGAATTGTATTTGGCTCTTCCATATACTAGACAATATCTTGTCATGTATAAAGTAAAGTAAGTAAATTCTCAGTATTTTTGTTTTTTTGTTTTTTTTATTCCTTTAAAATTTCATTTGTACGCTTCATTTTCATCTTTGTAACTTCATATAACTTATAAGTGATTTTATTATTCGTCTTTAATTCAGTTTGTCATTTTACAACTTGATCTTCAGTACGTTTCCTGTTTACTCAGACTCTAAACTGTAAATTGTGTAAAATATTTAATAAAGTATTATATATATTTGCCTTCAATTTTCGTCATTTAAAAACTATTATCACAATTCAGGAAAATCTTTATGTAACATCAAATAAACCTTTAACATATGTGGATAAATTTGACTTTTAACCTTTCGAGGATAAATCTCGTTTTTAAATTCTGAATATTTATTACCTTTAGAAGATTCTTTAATGAAATATTTATATTTATATACGTTATTATTTTTGAGTATTTATTATTAAAAAATTCATAGTTAATTAAGTAAAATTAAATATTGTTCAATCGACGTTACGTATAGTACATTAAATAAGATTTAAAATAAGTTTTTATAACCACAATTAAAATATATATATATATATTAAGAAAATTGGACGTAAATTCTTTATTACAAGATAATTTTTCCATAAATTAAAATTGCTCGTTATTATTATCAATTCATCTTTAAAGTCGTTAAACAATTTTTATTAGTTATCGCTCTCTAATAATTTATCAAAACAGATTAGTAATGGCTGTAGTTTATATGTTAAGATCAACAAAATTAACAAGTAAACATATTTTTCTCGTATTAATGAGTTGTCAATCTATCCTTAATAGGATTTAAGTCATTAAATTTTTTTTCCTCTCTCTCTCTTTCTTTTCTTCCTAACTTTATAGATTAATACTAAAATCATTGGATAATTATAGTTTTGTTGGATTAAAAACATTATAAAAATATTCATTTATTTTTCATTCCTTACCTGGAAATATTTCATCACGTTATATTATACATTTCCTCGAACTTAAGATAAACTTCGACTCTAAAAACACCTTTTATTAAACAAATTATATAATTTAAAGTAAATAAATTAAGTTATAAAAGAATTTATTAAATCAAAAAGGTTAATAACGTGTTAAATATAAAGAATAATTAACATAAAGTATAAAATAAACAAAGAATATCGTCATATTTAAGAACCACCCAACCTCTACGAAAGAACTTTTATGATAAATATTGAGTAATAATTAGAAATAAATGTAGCTTAAAAAATTATTAAAAAGGTAAAATTTTGACAATTTATTTTATAATTAACAAAAAGTATAAAATAAATAGTGAAATACTATAAAAAATTTTACATACAGAATCTGAAAGAGTAACAATTCAAGAAACACTTCTTGCATCCCAACTTTTAGAGAGGAGTTTTCAGGAAAAATATCGAAAGATAATTCAAAGTAAAGAGAATTAATAAGAAGGAGACTCTAATGAATCCCTTTAAACTAAATTTTAAAATATTCACAAATTAGAAGAAACTAAAAATTGTCCACATATCTTATCCTTGTCAACACATCATGAACACTGTTGTGTTGACAGGGACAAGATACGGAAACAAATTTTAGTTTCTTCTAATTTGTGAATATATCTTAATATATATTACTCTCCTGGCAATTACATTTATAAATTTTAGAATTTTACGAGCGCTTAAAATTCATAAGCATCCTAACTGTGGGAAGAGAGAAAGTGCCTCTTAATACCACGTTAAGCACTAGTATTAAATATACATAAAGATCTGTATTTTTTTAAATATATAATTATTTTTGAACGTTGTAGTATTATAAATGATAAAGTTTAATAAAAAATTAAAATATTTTAAAAACTATTTATAAACATTTTTCAACTGTTTACTGTAGATTTTTAAGAAAGAAAAGAAAATAAAAATATCTGATACCTTTTTTATTCAATGCATTTGGAAGAATGCATTCGAATATTTTCGAAAAAGAAAGAAGAGGAAGGGGAAAAAAGAAAGAAAGAATAATAAAAAAATACATTCTTAAGATTCCCCAAGGATATTTTGCTATGAAAAGTTCACATTTCAAAAATCTAAATATTCTCACATTTATATAAGATCTACTACAACATATATAAATAAAAATTCCCCAAGAAATTTATTTTGGATAGAATTTTATTTAACCTTTTTTTTTTTAAATCTCTTTTAATCGAAAAGCGTTGGTGCGTTGACTTCACTCGTCTGTTTCTTAATTTTTAGATGAAGCACAAAAAGTCATTTTACAGTAAAATATTGTTTAACTTTTTTTTTAAGTTAATGGAAAATTGGAAAAAAAATAATTTCTTTTCTATCCTATGACATCCAATTGAAGATCGAAAATAAGATAATTTAACTTATTTTATCTTTAAAATACCCTTCTTTTTTAAATAGCAATTTACTTAATTTTTTGTGATTATCATATAAAAAAATGTAGCGTATGAAGTCTTCACTTTAAACTAGAATTTTTTAATGTTTTAATTATTATAAACTTGTCAATTTACAGTAATATTCTCTTAATATTTTAAAGATATAATGTCTTAAAAGTTAGATAAATATAGAAAAAAAACTTTCTTTGTAAGTCGGATAACTTTTATTTTTCTAAAAATTGAAGTCTATATCTTCTTTAAAAACATATTTTATATCTTCGAAAAATGATTATATAGCCTATATATATATATTTTTTTTTTATAATCCCTTTCCATCAGTCGGTTTTTATTAGTTTTTTTGTGTCCCATTCTCATTATTTTCCTTTTTTATTATTATTTTCTATAAAAAAACATTAAAGGTAAGTCATTGTTTGATTAATAATCTGATGATTTTTGAGGTTACGCTTCTTGAAAAATAATCATTTTTTGAACAATAATTAATTTAATTTTATTGTTTTAATAAGTAATATTTTTAATGTCAAGTATTTTATCATTATTTATACTAATTTTTAAATATTTTAATAAATGGATAAACGACAGAATAGGAAGGAAATTAGGGATGAAAAAAATAAAGGAATAAAAATAAAAGTATAAATTTCAAAAACATTTGTAGTCCTATATAAATTTTAACACTCGTTTCTCCTAAACTTTTATCATTTAAGTCGTGTGTAAAGTGATTTTTTTTAAATTTATATACAAATAAAAATAGATAAGAATGTTTGCTGATGTTAGACGAAAACATTCTAATGTCATATGTTTCACATTTGTAACGATTCTTCTATTTAAAAAAGAAAAAATAATAATAAAGACTAAAGAAAACAACATAACAGTCTACACTTTGTATGATGTTAAGGGATTCTAAATATACTTTTAAGTTTTTCATGTACAAAGATAAATTGAATCGGATCAACAAGAGAAACTTGCTTCTTAGTCTTGTGAGTGCTGTTGGAAAAGTTTCCTTTAGTGATCGATGTATTTGCGAAGTTGTACAATTCACCAATTCAACACAGGAACTGTAATGTTGTAAATTCTAACGATTAATATTGTATAAAATTACAATATGATACTGATATCATTCTAAATCATTATACGTTGTATAATTATAGAATTGTTAATATTATCAAGTCTTATTGTTAGTTTCTACTGCTAATACAGTAGAATTCGAAGTTGAAGAGACAATAATGTAATAATAAAAAACAATATATTACAGTACTTTTATCACACTTTTTTTAAAAGCTTGAAATTTTGGATTGGTTTTTTTGAATGTTGAGGATTTTTTTTCAAGTTTATTGAGGGGTTGAGAACCTCTTCACGTTTTTCTCTTCCTCAACAAACAGTTTTAAAGTCAAAAAGTAAATTTTTAAGTTAGTTTAAACTAAGTAATACGCCGAATACTGTACTCTGAAATTTCCCAATCAACGTTACTAACATTATTGGCTGAACATACATTTTTTTCCCTTCAATATTACAGGCGATTTTTCCTAAACTACTCACAATTTTTTTTGAATTAACCAAAAATACGTTCGATTAAAAAAAAATTTACATTAATTCTATAGAAAATTCAAGGATTTAGAGAAAATATTACTCCGAATTAATCACAAATTCGATTCGAATTATCCGAGTTCTACTGTATTATTTTCTTCTATTCTTGATTCATCGATCATCTCTCGCATCGTTTACTATTGTTAAACTAATCGCATTTTATCGTCGATACCTTTTATATTGTAGATTTACATTTTAAATTTCACTTTATTATACTATAAATTCATTTTATATTATTTAATTCTTGTTATGCATTCATTCAGATAAGAATAATTGACAACAGAACTTTAAACAACTATCACAATTAAATTTTGTTTCGGCTTAAAATACATTTATCTATAATAAAATATAGGTTTATTAATCCAGAATTTATTTATAAATATTTAAAACCTTTTTTTTAAAAATAATTTAGAGTTATAAACCTAATTTATATAGGATCTTATACCTCCAAACGAATATAAATACGCATGTATTTCTTTTTTTTCCCCAAGAAAACTTTTATTTTCTAGATACTAGGTCAAGATAAATGAAATTTTTCGATCAGTAGAATATTTGAAAAATAAATGTTAAATTGAATTGCGAAAATTAAATCTTGGCTATTCAAGAATTTGGCAAAATTCCATTTTTATCAAGTAAATTTTTCCGTTAAATTCACACACTCATAGATTATTAAATAAAAATCTATTTAGTTAAACATACTATTTTATTTTATATGAACATTAAATGTTAACTTTAGTAGTTTTTTTCTTATATTTATTAAATGTAAACAAATTTAAAGGTAAGTTATTATTTTACATTGTTTAAAAGTAAAAAGAAAATAATTTTAAAACTTATTAATGTAATAATATACTTTAATTAGAGTTTAAGAAACTTATAGAATTTATAAAAATAAGAAAGCTATAAGAAAGTTATATAATCTAATTAAATAAATTAGAGTTAAAAATGTTAATAATTTATTTATTTAGAAGTTCCAAGCAATGTTCTTTCTTATTATTTAGATATTCCAAGCAACGATCCCAATATTTTTTATTTAGATATTACCAATAATATTCCTAACTTTTGATTTAATGTTTCTAATATTATTCACACTTTATTTTTGTATTTAGTGAGAAATATTTAGGAAAAGAAAATTAAAATTATTATTATAATCTTAATATTCGTTTAGTTTAAATAATACACAAAATAAACTGATTGCAATAATAAATAACATACTATTTCTACCGATTTTGCTTTAATTCTAAGACGTTTCGTGTTTATATTTCTTCTATAGCATTGCACAAAGCTCACAATAAGATTTATGTTCTTGGATTTTCTACTTGATCCATATATCGAACACCGTTGTCACCAGACCATGTAGTGAACATAAACGTGGTGATACGGTGTATTATAATTCCAAAAGAGGTAATCTGGTAGTGGATAAGTGTGACAGTTACAACAGTTGTCATATACAACTATTCCTTGACTTCATACATTGTATCACCAAATATGAGATGATCTATTTTTCTAACATATCGAACCGAACAATCAAATTTCATGCAGTTCTATATTAAATCTGATGTAGTAAGCTTACATATTGAATGACATGCTTCATCGATTCTTTACAGAATAATATATTATCATATGAAATGTAAAAATCAGTTATGTTGTATCAAACGATTTTTTTAATCCATCTCTCCTTCTGATTCGTCCTAGTTTATTATAAAAGTTTATCATTTCAACATTTTTTTTAATATTTTCAGATAAGATATATTTGAAGAATTTTCTTTTAATATAAAATAACTTCAATCTTCTCATATATCTTCGAAATTTCCAATTTTATATGTCTTCGATTATTAAAAATAAAATATATTTAGNATTTAATTGAGTTCAAGTTACGTTTTAAGATTTATTTTAATGAATTTTTATGATTATTATTATTTTTTAAAATTTATACATAATTAAACCTCCGATTTTCAGATAAGATATATTTGAAGAATTTTCTTT